GGGCTCGCTGGGGCAGGGAGGAGGATGTGTTCAGTGGTGCCAGGCAAGGAACATGGTGGGTTTCAGTGCAGCGTGGCTGCTTTCTGTGCCTTTCTGCTGCTTGTGGTTGGAAGGACTGATCATCCTTTCTGTTCTGCCAGATGAATGTCTGTATTCTGCAGCCATGTGGCTGCTGCATTTTGGTGCGATTTGTGCTTTTTGGTCCTTGTTTTAATAAGGATTATTGAGGACCAAGTCTAAATGTAAGCAAAGTTAGAAGCTGCAGTCTCTCTGCCCCCCATCTTTCTGCTTTCCTCCCCCTAGATCTCTTCTTCCCAAATTTAATCTCCTTCTTACCCCCTGTCTGCCCAGGAAAGGAGCACACCAACCTGCTTTGAGCATAGTCTCTCTTGTCCTTTTTCCCTATCCAAAACCCCCACCTATTTTTTATTGGTTGGTTTAGCAACATTGTATGCTTTTCTTTCAGGTAAAACTAGCAGACTATCCCACTTTTTCGGCAGGGGACAGCATCCGATGCTCTTCAGCCATATGCTCAGTGTTGATTATGAGTTACTTCAAGATTTCAGAAAAGCCCAAGTTTTTATAAACTCCTGAGTTGATAGAGGATTATGATACCTAACAAGAACTGCATATAATATTTAAACACTCTGTAGAGGTTTGTAATTTTCCCACATAGAAGAAGTATACTTGTTGACCAGTAAGCTTATTTAGGAAGCACAGCACTTTGTGTTCTTCACTTATGACCCAGTTACAGCCCTGGATAAATGAGAAGTTGGGATTGCCGACATGTTGTGGTTTTACCGGAAATTTGAGTTTGAACATATTCTGCAGTTCAGGGAGAATAATGCTGGAACTTGGAAATAACTGTGAAAGTAGAAAAATACCCTGAACTGCACCTGCCTTGTATATCTCCATAAGAAGACTGTACAACAGACTTGTCTATCTTTGCAGTATTTATATTTTCGAATAATTTCTCAGTGTGTGTTTTGTATTTGTTATCTTTTCATTTTTGTTTGGGTATGTTGAGGCTAAGTGGTATTTTGTGTATGGAAACTGAAGGGTTTGCTCTTGTTAGCCTCAGAATTTTTTTTACAGTTAGTTAAGTCTAGCACAGGCTGACTGCTGAGGTGTAGACACTGTGAGATATCCTGGGATCCCTCTTGCTTTCCTCAGAGGATAAGGCTGAGGAAGAGACACAGGGCTCTGGGAACTGACAGCCACCAGGTGGGACCAGGACGTGGTGAGAAAGCAGGGAAGGTTGGTTGTGCTTAACCCAACTCCACTGCAATGATATGGCTGTGACTTAGGAAGCCTAAAGATGAACTCTGTGTTTCTTCCCTGCTGGATTTCTTCCAGTTTCCCCTTCAGTGTTTCTTACATGCTTTAAGACTTGCTGTGATGCACAGTTTGCTCTGGGTGTTTTCCTGATGTGCATTCATCTTGGCAAAATCACTAAGAACCAGGGTGCCATGTTAAAAGAAAAATGTTGAAACCTTATGGTATATTGGGCTTAAACTGCTGGGTTTGATTGCAGGGGCTGCAGGGGTGGGGGGCATCGCCTGGGCTGCCCTTCAGGAATGCCCCTGAGGGACCGTGACTGCACCAGACTGGAGTGAGGGCACCCCTGCGGGACTGCAGCCAACCAGGCAAGAGCAAGGACATACTTGGGGAACTGGGACCAGTGGAGGGGGAGTCCAGGCTGGGACAGGGCAATCCGAATGAAGCAGTAAGGAGCAGCAGAGGGACAAATGAGAAGTTAGGAGAAGCAGGCAGACACCATTGCACACAACCCACAGTCTCCTGTGTTGCCTGTTGCCTCACTGAAGGTGCTGGGCTGAACTGAGTGTAAGGCATGGCAGAAACAAGGGAAGTTCATCTAGGAAAGGGGGGAAGAAAAGGTGTTTGACTCAAGTCGAGCCTTGGGAAGATGGAGGAAAAGAGTTTCCCTCTGTGTTTGCTGAACTGCTTAGTCTCCTTTTTCCCCTCAACTCCTGAAACAGTAATTAAAAGTGTGTTAATTGGCAATAAAGTAAGTAAAATTACATAAAATTCCCTGAGCTGAGATTGTTTTTCCCACAATGTACAGACCACAAATTTTGGTGATTCTTGTACTAGTTTTCCTGGTTTTGAGTCTTTGGGGTTTACCTTAATCAGCTCTACAGCTTTGCTTTTGAACTTTGGAAGCCTAAAGATAATATCTTTTAAAATAAACAAAAATCTGACAGCTGAAATTTGTATGTGATAATGAGACTTTGGAGACCTGGCTTTAGGAAAAGTTCCTAGTATTACAGGACACAATAAAATTGCCAGAGTTGGCAGCCCCTGCTGTGTTTCTTCTCCTTCCTCGTCTCAACTTCTATGGCCTTCTCTGCTTGCATTGGTCATCTCCTTCACTGTATTGATTTTTATGTGTAATCTACTCAGAGCAAGGGTTTTGTCTATTATGCGCTGGTAATGCACCACATGTACATTACTATAGAAATAATCTAATACAAAGTGCCTGGGATTTCAAGCATTGAGCTGTTCATAGCCAAAAAAGCATTTGGCAAAAAAACCTGTATTTTTGTGCTCCCTCTGCTGGATCTGTAAGAGGAGGAAACACTCCTGGGCCTGAGTGTGGCTGGTTCCCACCTCACTACGCCCTGACTCTTACCCGGCCCCTGCCTTACCAGGCATCGGTGGGTACTTGCAGGAAGAACTTGAGGTGTCTGCTTATGCATCTGCCTCATGGGATGTGAACCGGTTGTGAATGCGAAAAGGTGGAGACGGTGTAGTATTGAGTTGTGCCACAGCGAGGCCATGGTTTCACACTTGGAAAGATGTCAGGTTTAAGGTGTTTCCAGTTGTGTCCTCTTCCCCATCCATCTATTCTCATTTCAGTGTGACTGTTTTGGACATATTCCTAGAAATAGGATGAGAGAATGGATCAGGCTTTAAGAAAAAGCTCACTGTGTTTTTAGAAACTGATTCTAGTTCAGAGCAAAGTGTGCTGGCAGAGCTGAGGCTGGCGTGAGGGCACTGGGAACAAGCTGGAGTGGTGGTGGGGGAGATAGTGGCCCCTGAGCAGGTTGTGTGGTGAAACCAGGGAGCAGATGCTGGTGGGGACAGTGCCAGTGTCCTCATAATAAGCTTGGGCTTGATTTACGAAAGGGGTGGGTGGTCTGTAATGTGAATTCACAGAATTGTTAATGGGGATAGCCCTTTTAAGAGGTGTTTTATAAAACAAAGTAGGAATTGTGGTGCCAGTTTTACAGATGGGCAGAACTAAAGCATGAAGGAGGGGAGAGAAGTTGGCTTTGTGTGTTGCAGCAGTGCAGTTTAAGCTGGTTTAAGCAGCCTCTGGTCCTACTCTCTGCCATCATGGCTGATCACTCCTGCCCTGTGCCTGCTCCCTGTGTTGTGTTGGCACAGCTGTTTACGAGACAACATGATGAAGAAAATTAGTTCCCCCAATCCAGCTAACCATGCAGCTGCACAAATGCAAGTTTGGAAGCAAACGTCCAGAAGAAAGAAGTGAGAGGTAAAGTTTAAGCTGCCAAGTAAATGCTACTGCCCAATTTACTAAAGTCACACCTACCACACCTGGAATGGTACCCTGTTCCTGGGGCAGACAGAACAGAAGTTTATCCTTTGGAGGAACAAACTTAGAAGATGGATAAATAACTAATTCCAGCTTCATTAAAAACCCAGTCTGCATTAGCTGAGAAAGTCATGTTAACACATACTAAATTTGAATCAATTAACATGTTTTTCCTGGCTTGTATAAGCAGAACAAAAGCACTGGGGAAAACTTCTGGATGAGAATAAATATGTTCTGGGGGAAAACATTCACAGTTCAATGAGGCCTTAAAAGCCAATCATTCACTCAGGGTGCCTGTCAATATGTAACTTCTCCAAAATTGCCATTTTTTGTGAGACAAGGAAACCAGCAGAGTTCCTGTCTGAAGCAGACGGTCCCTTGGTGGCGCTGTACATGTTGGGGTGGGATGACTGTTTCTAACATATGGTTTTCAGATTTTTTGTGAATTCTCAGTGCACAGAATAAATATGACTGCAGAACAAATATTGAATGCAACTAACAAGTTATTAGTAATAAAAAACTTAAGGTGTTTCTTCTGCATTTTTGAAGTCACCTGTGACTTTTGCATCATATGAGTTATGGAAGTGTCAGCTCCCACAACTGGTCCTTGGGGAAGAACCTGGACTGGCCATGAATTGTGCACCTTACCTTTTTTTTCATAATACTTATTTTTTCATGTTTGATGGCAAATTCTTTTGCATGAAAGTTATTTGGACATACTCAAAAGAGAAGCAAAGCACAGCCATCGTGTTCCTTCAATATTTGCTGAGTTTTGGAGCCTAGTAGTATAAGGCTGTAAGGACACCTTGTCTGTCTGCTGAAACAGCGTGTAACAAAATACATACTGCCCATAAAAGTTCCCCCGTCTCCCTTTGCAGTCTTCATAATTAGAAAGCATTTCCTAGAAGTTGTAGTGCTGTGCCAATGTAATCCATAAACTTGCTTTGTTTTGCTATAGACGGGAGGGTGGTTTTGAGGTATTTTGGTGTATTCATTTAAGCAGTGTTTGGGGGTTGTTTTTTTTTTTTTTAATGGCACTTATCTGGCAACAGTCAGTGAGTACCCTTTATAAAGAGAATAAAAGAGACTTCAGCATGACCTTTAACTGAAATAAAAATTACCATTTGGCTCAGAAAATTCTGATAGAAACCTCAACAGAATTCTTATTATCTTTTCCTTGTCTCATTGTTACAGGCAAGAAAACGTGTAAGACTTAAAACTGCTGGAGTGAGTCTGAAAAGCTTGGGGGGGTGGCAGGGCTGGGCTGGATCCGCAACCCAGGCTCAGATCTGGTCCTCTAGGCTTGGTCCTGGGACTCCTAAATGCTCTTCATTCATTTCAGGTTTTTTCAGTGAGGCTCTTAATGCTGACATATTATGCAGGAGAATGGAAGCATGATCTGTCTGTATTTTGATTGCAGGTAAATGAATCTTGTTATGTGAGGTCATTGAGGAAACAGTCCCCTGCAACAGAGAGGAAGAAAGGCTGTTGGGAAATATACAGGTAGGAAAACTTTATGGACCACCAGGTGGTAAAAAAAATGGTGGGCCTTCACTCTTTTTCCAAATGCTGCACTGTGTTTTATGTTTTAATGGCTGATCTGGTCACTATCAAAGTTTATTTGTTGTTTTAAGAAGCAGTCCTGTTTGGTCAATTGATTGCAACAACAAAACACTGCAAGCAAAACCTTCAGCACAAACATTCCTCAGGCTATCCCTGGCACAATATTGATCCTTATACAGAATACAAACAAATTACTCTTTGCATGAGCCATTCAAGCTATAAAACAGAGCAATAATATGTTCTATTTGCTGCCAATAAATGTGCATTTATAATAAACAAAGTAGAAATCCCTGAGTAGAAATGAACAGTAGTTTCAATAATGTGTTCAATAGCTCATGTCCCGCTGTTGTACAAAATTTAAAAAAGAGTGGGCACTACAGGGTTTCTGTTGCCTCCTACCCTTAAGAAAAATAATCTTTGCAAGATTGTTCTGTTGTTGCTTTTGTGTTGTTTTGGGCTTTTAAAGATATTTGAAGTATTTTATAAAGCAATAGGTAATCTCATTTTTGCCTTATTTCCAGTGTAGCTTCTCAATAATTTGGTCTACATCTTAATTTTCTTGTGGACCAGCTGCTTTGTCTTACACTGTTATGTGGGTCATCTCCACTTTCACTTCTTATATCCCTGTGGCATTTCCTTATATTGGGAAATCACATTAAAGACACTTTCATGTATTGTAGTTGTTTTGAATGCAACTGAAATTAGTGGGGGAGGAGTCAGTACCCTTGTGCCTATCACCGCTAAGGATGCGTAGATGATAACTGAACCCATTTCCAAAAGGAAAAAGTTGATGATCATCAGAACATAAATTTTTTAATTTTTTATTTTATATTTTTTAATCTTCCCTACTGTGCTCATACAATCCTCCTCCCCCATATCCAGATTTTCAGTGCTGCACTTTGATGAGATACAGACAGTTGACCTGAAGGCATTTCTTGATGAACATTTCTGTCTGCTCTCAGCCTTGAAAAACTCAACCTTTTCAAGAGCTGGATGGGAGAAAAATGTGTAAGACTAATATTTATATGCTGGAAGAGAGGGGAGAGGAAAGACTAAAGTGTAAAACTTGCTTCCAGCAGAAATGCCATCCCTCTTTTACCTCTGATAATTTAGAAGCATTTCTGACATGGCTACAAAAGCAAGTTAGCGGTGTGTGCCTGCCGTTTGCTGTGTTTTGTGTTGCAGGACTCTTTTCCTTTTTGTGTGGTGATTCTCTCTTCTATTTTGTTTTAAGACAAAACACAAATTGCAACTGATACTCAACTACTACTTTATGATTTATCCATACTCCTACATTTTAAGCAATTACTTCCAAGTACTTACACATGATTGTTTGTAAAAATGGAAGGTTGTTATTCAAGTTCACATTTTGAGGACTTTTTCATAATGTTTAGCAGAGCCCATGGGCATAAACCCTTTCATAAATAGTCCTAACTGAAATCATACTGGAACACTAGAAGGAGGAGAGGTTTGAACTGCTGTAATTTTGGGTATATTAGTAATTTTGCTGTAATCTTGGCTATATTAAGAAATACAGTAGTACTGATTGTAACTCTAATAGGGAGATTTAGAGGACATGGAAGATAGTTTTTAGTGGTGCCTTAGAGAGTATACTGTATTTTATATCCCCTGAATATAGGTCTAAGACTTTGGCCGTTTATTGTAAAAATGTGTGCAGGGGTAGAAATGCAGCAAATAATTAAAATACCCCAAACACCACACCAAAAAACACCCTCCTTTAAAACTGTGTTCCTGAAAATTTCCCAGAGATTTCCCTAGACTTGGGCCCTGGTCAAAATAAAAATCACTTGCCTGTTCCATGAAGAAACTTGGGAAAGAAGTTCCTTGCTGTGCCTTTGGGTCACGTGGTCTCCCTGCTGTAGAGCTGGAATGTTTGCCATGGTATTTCCGGAGGCTTCATAAACACACAGAAAGAACAGGGGGGTTAGGAGGATTTAAAGAAAATTATTATATTCTCCTGTGCTTCCCTCCCCCCCCCTTTTTTTAAATCCTTGCTTTTGGCAGCCTAAATTCATTACACTTCAGATACGGGATTTTTAGGAATTCAGGAAAGTGTTTATCTGATTAGTCCAATGAATTTAAAGAATTATCTGTTTTTTAAACAAGAAAGTTAAAAGATATTTGGCACTTTCTTAATTGCTGAATTTGTCTAGAATTATTTTTTACTTAATGTAATACCTGGCAACCTACATATTAAGCCTAACTCCTCTATTTAGTCAGTCTTAATGGTTTACTTTTGGCATGTGTCATTGTGAGTGGCATTCAGTAATCTGTCGATAGCTGTCAACTTGCAAGCTAGAGTAATGCAAACAAAAGATGAGCTCTCAACAAGGTTGCAGTGAAGAGCCATTTCCTAAATCCTGCTGTGGTGGCGTAGAATCCCTACATCAAATCAGAAAAGCATGGAATTAGTTCTGGCTCTGGGGATATGAGGGTTAAGATTATGCAAACCTCTTCTTTCTAACTGTAGGAATAGCATATGCTCCTTTTGAGACTTTGCAGACACCTGCTCAAACTAGGATTGTGAGGACCTCTGTGCTAAATCTGTGATGTCACAGATATGTTATGTCTTAGTGGTAAGGTGGGCTGAAGAAGACCCTGAAGGCCCTCTTGCACCCCTGGGCTGTCAGAGATGAGTCTTCTCCTCCTCCTTCCCTCCCCTTCCAGATGAGCCGAGCTGCCTGTTGAACAAGGGTAGAGAACTCATCCTTTCTAAAATAACCTGGCAAAAATGGGGAGGGACTGGGAGGATGAATGGACTGTTTTTAGCGTAATCAACTCCATTAGCTGCACAGTCCCATAAAGCTGTCCTAACACTGCGTGGAGGGGCAGTCCAGCAGGAACTGGTAACAAGTAGCCAGAAGTAGGAACTGCTTGTTCCCACTTTGCCATGGCAAAAAACCCACCCCAGCAAACATGCCTGTGTATTCCACTCAGGGCATGGTCAGTAGATGGTTTATAACCATATCAGGATGTGCTTGTTGCCGAGTCAGATTATTAATTACACTGGAACTTGCAAAAAGGCAGCATAGTTTGTCTTAGAGAGATTTCCTTTAAAGTATAAACCACTAGATTTTTCCCAAATTCAGGCCCTGAATTTGCATACCAAAGAGGAGCCTTGGTAGGTCTGGAATTGAGCAAGAGCTTGGGTTCTGCACATTGACAGGGCTTTCTTGCTCCTTCCTCCTCTTCCCTGTCAAACGTTGAAGTTTTGAAGTTCTTTAAGTATGATTAATTATTTCATGATATTCTCCTGGCGTGGAGATGTTTCAGTAAGACTTATATTTTAATAAAATATGTAGTGTCTGATTTCTGTGGGTACCCCTGCACACCTGTGTGAACACAGCAACACAGATGTTGGACAACAGAAGGGAAAGAAGGAAGAGGAGCAAAATAATGAATAGAATATCTGGGAAGGGCTTAGAGTAGGAAGAGTAAGGCAAAGACACAGCAGGAAAAAAGGGTGGAGATTTGAGGAAGGGAAATTGTCCCTTCCAAAACTAGCTCTGTTGACAGAAATAGATGTAAGGAAAATATGGGCATCTTCCCATCTAAAAGAAGATGGGAAGAACTGTTTGAGGGGGCTGTAGTGCTAATTTTGGAAGTGCTCCCCATGCTCTAGGGGTAGGCAGGTGGGGTACAGCAATTGCTGTCTAGGCCACTGATGTTTGAGTCACTTCATCTGTTTGCATTTCTGCAATTTCAAATCTGTAAAGCTGAGTTGAGACATGCTTTGAGTCTGAAGGTAACCAGCTGAACTGGTAATGTCCCCACTGCTCTCTGTGTGTTCTGCCCCTTGTCATGTCAGTACTGGAGTGGGGACTGGGGAATGGAGAGTCCTGTTTTCCCCCTGCTTACCTCAGTGGTTATCGGTAGAAAACTCTTGGATCTTGTGACATGAAACACATACTATGATAATTGGACAAAGTCTTCTGGATTGGTCTAGTTTAGAATGATGGTACCTACTGGTCTGTAGCTAGAGCAGGCATCTGAGAGGGAATGATATGGAGCGAAGAAGTATACCTGAAGCTTTTGGACACTGTATGTGGGGAAAAACATACTGTTCCAACAATCAGTGTAAATATAAATGCTCTAGTATTTATGTTACCTTTTGTAACAGTAAGCCATGATTCAAAGGCAAACTGTGTTTTAAGTTGAGCATTATCTGCTTGTATATATTTTTTCCCAAGTGAACACATAGAAATGTGGAGAAATACCAAAGAAATCTTGTGCAGTATAACTGAGTAAAATGTGGGTAACTTCTCAATTGAGTTGTCTTCAGTACTGTGCTTTTGAGTAAAATGCTGTAGCACCTTAAGTTTCAGGTGAAAAAAGGACACAAATCCACCTCTTTAGGTGGCGGAAATAGTGTACAAGAGGGTGGGGTTTTTTGTTTGTTTTGTTTTGAGATGTTCCTGTGGTTTATCCTGTTCCATGATATATCTCACTGGTTTGTAACTTCTGTGCATTTATGAGAATGTGCAAAGACTTTTTACAGTTAATTTTGCAATGATAATATGTATATCTGAATAATACTTTTCATGCCTTTTGGCTTTGCCCCTTGCCATCTAAGACTTGCTGGGCCTTTATAAGGAAACTTTGTTTAGGCAGGCCAGCGGGAATCATGGTTGAAGCTCGTTCTCAAAAGCTCTGTGTTCTTAATTGCCTTTGACAGTGGTTGGGAAAGATGTCACTTTACCATAGTGAAAAGCAAGCAAAAAAAATTATATTTTTAATGAAGGATTCTCTCTGGGTGAATTGATACTGGCAGGACAGTATTGGTTAAAAATAGAAGAACCTTCTGCAGGCACACTGCAGTTTATCCTAGTTTTATTTAGTCAAAACAAAAAGCAATGTACACATACCTACTGTAGACAGGCCTTTTAGTCTGAGGTACTTCCCTTGGCAGATGGCTTCTG